GTGTGTGTGTGTGTGTGTGTGTGTGTGTGTGTGTGTGTGTGTGTGTGTGTGTGCTCGTGCGCGTATGTGTGTATTGTGTATGTGTTTGTGTGAGGAAAAACTTATCTGTAGTACATCCTAAAGACTTACTCTTTTTTTTCTACCACTGTTTCGGCCACTGCAGTCAGGGGATGACCTTCCTCGTCTAGTCCGTTAGCCTCACACCTGTATTTGCCCACCACCTGGCTAGTGGGGTATGTCCACTGGAGACAGGAAATAAGGGTAAGAACGTTAGGGACATTTGCTGGTCGCGTTGACTATAACATTTATGTTATTGCCGAAAAACTCTGGTCAGTTGTTGACAATTCTTATTGTTCTCGTCTCACTTAAATCTAAATTATAGAACAAAAAGTGTTTTACGCCCCCATCAACATAATTCCGATAATTTCAAAGGTTCGAACTGTTGTTTTGCACAGTCAATATTGTTGACGACGATACGACACAGGAAGGAACAAAAATGTGTTCCATCATGGTGAAATCAGGCGCTCGTCCAAATAATGAAATCCAAGAAACCGACATTGATTTTCGACCGCTGGCAATTTTTATTGAATTTTCTTTTAATGAGCTCATGAAGAGTTAATACTTTTATATCCAATTAAAGACACATTTTTGGGTGCAGTTTATTGAAAACCTTCAATCACAAGAACAGAAAATGTAAATTAGTTTGGAGTTTCGTAAATATCTCTATTTTTATTCAAGATTGATGGGAATTTCTCTTTCATGTAAAGGAAAACAAATGAACCAGCTATTTATAAGTAAGATGATATCGGCAACTTCATATGCCTCAAAACTGACGAGCACCTGATTCCACGGCGTTGCAAGATACATTATGATAAAAGATGTAGGTATACACAATGGTCTCCACCCAAAAAATAATATTATGTTCAACTTTACTTTGACTTTGACTTTTTTCTTCCCCTGATATCCTTAGGATGTCGAGGGGAGGTGCAGGTTTCGATCCTGTGCTAAGTGCGTGACGTCCTTGATTGATATGGTGTGTTGTTCCAGGAACTTTTTAACCCCGTCCAGCCAGGTATTTATTGGTCTTTCTCTTGATTTGAAGCAGGATTCTCGGGTATGGTAAGCTGGCACATTCTGGTTAGATGTCCAAACCATTTGATTCTTTGAAGCTTAATGAAATCCATAACTGGTTGTATTCCAGTTTGTAGACGTATGGCTTCGTTCTTTATGCGGTCTCTTCTGTTGACATTGGTGGTTTTGCAGAGGCACCTCATTTCGCATACATTGATTTTTCTTTCTTGTACTTTATATGGGAACCATATCTGGCAAAAATGTTAATGTTGGTATGAAGATACTATTGATAAGCTTGGCTTTCACTTCGTTTAGGATTTTCCTGTGACTCAGCGGGGGTTCTAGCTGGTATGTCCCTCTATTTGAATTCTTGGTTCTTGTTTCCATCTCTTTGTTTATACGCCCAGTTTGTGTGAAGATGCTTCCCAAATATTTGAATTCCTCTACTAGTTGGAGTTGTGTTCCGTCCATAAAAATGTGGAGTTTCCCTGGGTTTCTTTTGACTTTCAAAACTTCCGTTTTTTTAAATGGAGATTTTCATGTTTAGGTGATAACATTCCTCAATTAAGTATTATTGTGGTGCGTTTTGTTGTTGTTGTAATTCCTCTTCATCTGTATGTAATATACTCTGGTCATGAGCAAACAGGAGCTTCAGTTCAATGATATGTCACTTGTTGTTTTCGTGATCCTATCCATGTAAGTGGTGAAGAGAAGCGGAGCGAGATCACACCCTTGTCTCACCCCAGATATGATGAGAAACCAGTCTAATAGTCCCTCTGTTATTCTTACGGAGCCAAATGACTATTTTCAAAAAGTGACATGTTTTTCTCCATCAATTTTCCTGTGACACCCAAGGAGTTTAGAATTAATGGAGCCTCCTCTCTCTCTTCGCGGCGCCACGAGCAGTACGCCGCGGTGGGGATCAAATATGGCCGCCGACTGTGGGCTAAATCTCGAACTGGGGAGTTTCTTTTTATAGAATCTTATCGGGCTGGGCCACGTTGTGGGGGTGGGCGGGGTGGGGGAATACACGCAAGGGAGAGGGGATGGGGCTGGGATTAAAGAGGAGGGGCGGGCCTTGGGAAGGGACGAAGGAGAATGGGAAAAATTAAATAAAAGAGAGAGAGACAGAGAGACAGAGAGACAGAGACAGACAGACAGACAGACAGACAGACAGACAGGCAGGCAGGCAGGCAGGCAGGCAGGCAGGCAGGCAGGCAGGCAGACAGGCAGACAGGCAGACAGAGAGAGAGAGAGAGAGAGAGAGAGAGAGAGAGAGAGAGAGAGAGAGAGAGAGAGAGAGAGAGAGAGAGAGAGAGAGAGAGAGAGAGAGAGAGAGAGAGAGATTGTGTTCAACTGACAGGATGACGGATAGAATAACAGGGAGAAAAAAAAATTAAATTCTGTGTGTGATACGAACTGTTCTAGGCAACTGAGAAAGCATAGGGACTGTTCAATTATTTAAGAGTTTTATGTTATATAGCTAGTTTAAAAATCAAGAAGATCGGCAAAATAAGAAAAAACAACTTATCCAAGTATCATAAAATTATCAAACATACCAAATTATAAAGATAATCTTTCATGACGCTAAAAGATTTATTAATTATAATAAGAAATGGTGAAAAATGTATTTTTAAAAATTGAATTGAAGATATTACTGCATGATTCTAGACATGGGTACGAGGGGCTCTTATTGCGAGTTCGATGTTCGGCAAAATCAAAGGCGTCGATGAGGAGTTCACACCTGGGCGTGATTCCTTTGTCGTAAAATCCTTGCGTCTGGAGCAAACGTGTACCTCGCATCGAGATTTACAGCGGAGATGTGATCCCATGCATGAGCAAGGGTTACCTTTGAAGGTTTTTTTTGTTCAGAGTAAAGTACGATAGGGAAAGCAGCGTTTTTAGTCTCTTCACACTTCAGAGGGGGATAATTTATCACGACTAGTGCAGTAAAATTTATTGTTGCTTTGTTTGGTTTATTTTTGAACAGCGAAATCTTAAGTGAACCGGAATGATAAATTGTGGGATCTTAGGTGAAGACTACAACAATAGATTTAGATCCAAACCGAGTATAGTTCTATCAAACACGACTCAAACTCTTATCCACCCACCCTACATCCTCCCCTCATCTGATATGATTTGGTGTTTCTTTAACATAGAAGATATTCATCACTATTGTTGTTGGGTATTGATTTCATATTTTAATGGAGCCTCTCGATATCTACATCTAGACAACAGTAGTCTTATAGTAATTAGGAGACGAATGGGCTTAAAAACATAAAACAAGTCTGACTGACTGATTGAACTCAACACGCTAAGGTGTGTTGTATGATTAGTAAATATATGAAAACAAGATACATGTAGAAACCTAGACTCTATTTGTCCCGTCAAAATAAAGGTATGCTGCGCATAGCATCTAATTTACACACACAATGTAAAGCAATATATACTTTAATTTAAATGTTTAATATGTATTATACATACACCCACACGCACACAAATACACACACACACACACACACACACACACACACACACACACACACACACACACGAATAATAATATTTTTTAAAATCAAGTATCTCGGTCTTTCTTCTGGGGTGTTGTTACAGTGTACCCCTTTCTGCCCGGGTTGGCCTTGGCAGGTAGCGCCGCAGTCAGCCCCTTATAAAAGTTAATGATCTAAATTGTGTCGCTGGGGGCATAAAAACACTTTCATTCAGATTTTTTTAAAAAGGAAAACAACACCTGTGAAAACTTATGTCCACTGCAGCATCATATCGGTTCTTACACTTAAACACAACGCAGGTGGAAGGCATTTTTTAAAATTGACTTGCCTAATCTCGGAATAAAACCTTCTTTCTTATCTAGATTTCAGTGCGTGAGCGCAGCGCAGGTAGACCACAGTTCCGCCGCGAGAGAGGGCTCCTATCAGGCGTGCGGTGCCGCCCACAGAGCATCCCCCATTACTGTAAACTCCTTGGTGACACCACATACCTCTGAGACATCCCAAAGTTAACATCTGTTCACCAGGTCGAAAGCCTTGTCCTGGTCCATGAAGACCATGCTGAGGTCTTATTCTTGTGTGCAATGACAGTTCCACACAGCTGTCTTAATGCAAAGACAGCGTCAGTACAGCCCCTGCCTTTTATGGAGTCAAATTGGGCTTTACGGAATTGAGTCTCTACAATTGGTTTCATTCTCATTTCCAGTATCTTGGCAAACATCTTACCTGCATAACTGAGAAGGGATATTCCTCTGTAGGTTCCACAGTCTCTTTTGATATCTTTCTTTTCCCAAATTGGTGCAATGATAGCTCGTTGCCAGTCATTCGGTGTGGTTTTTTTTGTCTCCCAAGACAGGTAAAATAATATCCTCCACAGCCAGAGTTCACCGATATTGCAGCATAGCTTGGTCTCTTCTGCTGTGAGGTTATCAACACCTGGCGCTTTGTTTGTGAGGCTTTTCTTTATAACATGTTGGGTTTCACTCAGCAGTAGTGATGGTTCTGGAATGGGTTTTTTTTTCGGTGAGAAAAGACTGCTGGATTTAGCAGCTCCTGGAAAAAGCGTTTCCATATTTCTGGCGTACTTAAAACAGAGTCTCTGTTCTCACCATTGACAATTTCCGTTGGGTTGAATGGTTCTTCCCACATCCTGATGCATTTGACGCTCTTGCAAAACTCTCTGAGGTCTCCCTTACATTATGTTGCCATCTATTCTCCATAGACTGTCCAGGATCTATTCTTGGATTCTTTTACTACCCTTGTTGCTTGGCAGCGTTCCTTTCTGTACCGGGTATAGGATGTAATCTTTCTCTGTCTTTGATTTCTGCCACTTTTGAATGCCTTTTTCTTCAGCTGGATGGCTTTCTTCACTGGGTCATTCCACCATATAAGCAGTTGTTTCCCTTTTCTGCCCTCTCGTTTTCCTGGTGCCGCACTCTTCCTTTAATGCTCTGTTCACGCATGCTTTGAAGTAGCTCCATTCCTCCCGGTTGTTTGGGCAATCTGTGAAATTCGTCTTACATAAATTCATGCATCTTATCTTTGTTATTGTCCTTTATATTTCTGAGATTTAAGACTTCTTGTCGTTTCCTGGCTTTTGGCCTTCAGCTGGTTGGTTTGTCGATGGCCATGATGACGTAGTTGGGTATCACTCTTAAGTCTCTCGTGTTTCTCAGTGTCAATCTTTTGGCCAAGATAAAATCAATTTGAGATGATGTCTTTAGATCATATTTTTATTTAATATGGTCAACGAGAGACAGACAAAACTGGCTGGGTTTATCCGTTGGCATCCCTTTTTTTATCTATTATTTTTACTCT